TATTATAATTTTAATTTTTTAATAATTAGGAAAGAAGGAAGCAAATAACCAAGGAAGAAAGGAAGGGTGACAGGATAGAAAGGAAGGAAGAAAAAATAGTTAAGGAAGGAAATAAACAAAGGAAGGACAGGAATAACTAAGAAAGAAGAGAAGGATAGATAAAACAGGAAGAAGAATAGAAGGAAGGAAGGAAAGGAGTAACTAAGGGAGGAAAGAAGCAAGAAAGGAAAGAAACAAAGGGAGGAGGGGAGGGAATAGCTAGGGAAGGAAAGAAAGATGGAAGGAACGGAAGAAGATTGGAAGCAAGGAAAGGAATTACTAAGGAAGGAAGAAAGTAAAGAAAGAAGGAAAGAAAGTGAAGAACACAGGAGATAAAGAAAAAAAGGACTGGAAGAATTAACTGAGGTAGGAAAGACAGAAGAAAGGCAAGGAAAGGATAGAAAGAATATAATGAGGTAATATTGTGCTGGACTCGAGGATTCATCTCTACCTCATTTATTATGGAAGTATTATTATTATTATTATGGAAGAGAGGGAAGGAATTGGATAATTAGGGGAAAGAAAGAAAGTAAAGAACACAGGAGAAAAACATTAGCAAAGTTGGCAGGGCAGGAATAACTATGGAAGGAGAGCAGGAAGGAAAGGAAAGGAAGTAAAGAACACAGGAGATAAAAACATAAAAGAAGGAAGTATTGAAAGTGTAAAGTAGAGTGTATACAGTATAAATGTTTTATCTTCTTGTCTCCTGATGGAGGTCATGTGACTGAAACATTTAAAGACCTTTTCACATTTGTCTTTGTGGTCGTCGAGCCTTCCAGTCAGCTACTCAGGTAAAAATCAGCTGATGACTGATGAGTATATTCAGAGTATGCAGTGAATAAAGCTGTCGGGTGTTTGAGCAGCAGGACGCGGATGCTCTTATCACACTTGAAGCCATTAAAATCTGACGTACAAGATAAGCGTCCGTCTTCTCTCTGGGAATTTATTCATTGGCACCGCGCTCTTTTTAATGTTGGCAAGGGGAGCGCATAGCATGTCTTCATAAAACCAGATGAAAAAGATTCTCCACATGAAAGAGACTGGGCAAGTGGCGAGATAGTGAACATCCTTCGCCGTTGATGATTCCACGTGTAATGACAGCCATCAAATATGTATGCAGGAGGTGTTGGGGAGACAGACAGGTCTTTAACATGAGCCACCGTCTCTGTTTGCTTTTATCCAGAGCCATGCTTCAATATCCAAAGTCAATTGCATGGGCTTGAAAAGACATAATGCAATCCTCCTGATTGTAATAAGTACTGCTGATTCATGGAGGGGGCAGCGGCCCCTGGGGGGCTGGATAGATCCTCCATATCCTCCAAATGCATTAATCTTGCATTAGAGTTGCAATCCTTTCCTCAGCATTACAGAGCCTGCAGCTGGGGAATGTAACTGAGTACATATACTCAAGTACTGCACTAAAGTACAAATTGAAAGTACTTGCACTTGAGGGTTTCCAATTTGTGCACCTTTATACTGCGCCCCTCTGGGCACAGGCCCAGGGGTCCAAAGTGTCAGGGATCCTCCTGGCCTTCACCTGCAAAATGTCACTCAAATTAAAGTGGAGCAACCAGGAAGAGATACACAATGATCACAAAGTCACAAAATTATCATAAGGAGACACAAAATGATGCGACAACAACCACAACGAGAATTCCTTCAAAAAGACAAAACCACAAAAAGATGCATGAAACTGACAAAAAGATGCAAAACAACCACAAAGTCTGTGTCCTGCTCTTAAGTAGGAGAGGCAGGGAGACCTTTTGCATATCATTGCCTAGGGACCCATTATCTCATAATCCGCTCATTACTCTCCTTCATCTCAGCGAGACATACTGTCCTCATTGGCAGCAGGATTTTGTGGATATTCAAAACACTTTATTATTTAGACATGGTCTAACAACACTTGTCTTAACCCAGTCTTAAGTGTTAAGATGCCATAAGATTAAGATGGCTGCCTCACACTATGATCCAGACTCCAGGACTCTCCCTTCACTGTAAACAGAAGGCCTCTTGGTCTGGATACATGTCCCTGCATATCCACTAATTTACCCCTTTGATAAACACATGATGAAAAACATGAAGAATCAGGAGTGAAAATCTCCATCCTTTGATACTGAACAGGTTCAAAGAGTCACAGCAGCAGGAGGCCGCAGAGAGAGAGGGGAGCTGTGCATCCTCTCTGAATGTAATGAGACATATTCTGTGGTGTCAGAGAGACACAGAGAGGACACATATGAGTGAATTTGTTCTGTCTTTAGAGCCGAGAGAAAGTCTGTGGTTTGAATCTCTAGCATCAGGAGGAAAAAACAAATCCACTTTGAGATGGATATTAACATGCTAACACTTCTGGGCCCGTATTCACAAAGATTCTCAGAGTCCTCGCAGAGAGCTCCTAACTTAGCCTAAAAATTCCTAGCAAGGAATCTTAGCTTAAGAGTGATTCAGGAAGTTTCTGAGAGCAACTCTGAGGAAGGAGGGGACAGAAACTTTTATCTTAGTGAGGAGGTGTGGTTGACCCCGTTGCTAGGTATGACGCAGTCTTCTAAAAGCTGTGATTGGTTGTTACAAAAAGAAAAAAAAAATGCGCTCCTAGTAATGAATGGACAGTGAAATCAACTGATCATAGAACTTAGACTGTAGGCTATTGAGAAATGTGTAATCATGAAAATATTTTTATGTCATGATGATGAAACTCAGAAAAATTAAATTAATAGTTACACAGCTTCAAAATGTTTAAACGTACCTCATTCACATGCCGATTATTATATTGATTTGCTTATTGTTATGTTTACTCGCCATGCTGGTAATTTTAATACCTAATCTATTTGATAAATGGTGGACGCAGACTCAGCTGTCAGCAATTACTGTGATTGCTGGTCTCCTTGTAAAAAGCGGTTTGATTTGGCAGAATGACCAAAACAACGAATGAAATGGAGCAAAAAAGAACGAGAAAGCCGAACTGGACAGAAGAGCAGTGCCTGCTGTTGGCACAGCTCTTGGAGGAGAACAATGGAGTTTTAATAGGGAAATTCGGTCCCGGGATCACGGCACAAGGGAAGAGGCAGACTTGGGAGCGCATTGCCCGACAAATCAATGCGTCGTTCCCTCTCCTTTTACGCACAAGCGATGAGTGTGAGAAGCGCTGGTACGTGCTGCAATCCAAAGCGAGCGTTATTAAGTTACTACGCTGGGTGGGAAAAGTAAGCTATAAGCTTGCTATATAAGCTATAAAAAGATAAATCACTTTTCTGTAATACATCAATGATATTTCGATGGAATAAATTACTTAATGACTTATTCATACTTCAAAAACAGCATCAATAAGTGATTAACCCCATGGGCCCTAGGCGTTTTTGGGGTATTTTTACTGCCTTTACTTTTAAGCTCATATCACAGTCATTATAAAGGCTACATACACATGCTATATCTTGGTTTTTTTTCAGGACAATCTGGGCTAACCAGATTTGCCATCATTGCATGTCCTTCTATGTGCCTGTGTTTTATATAAATGTTTATATCAATGAAAAAAACAAATCTGTGTTACTAAATTCTTACATTTTTACAGCATAGCAAGTTGGAAAATTACATATTCTGCCATATCTGAAGAGGGGAGACTCTCTGGAATCTGGCAATATAAGAACCATGATGGTGGGACATTCTGTCACTTCACAGCTGTCCAAAACATGTGGTTTGTGCCAGGCGGACATGATTGTCAGTATTTTTTCATTATTGCAAGAAATTCCATTGACTCATGGACAAGTCAAAAATGTGTTTCATCTGAAAGAAACATGCAATATTTACATCTAAGATCATAGAAAAATAGTCAGCCAAGTGCAATGATGTCCTCCAAGATAATATTTGCCACTTTGTTTGCAGTAAA